AATGTTTGCTGTTGGTGCCCCTCTTGGGGATATTGAAATGATCAATTAAGCTTTGAAAAGTGTTTCTGGAGGTGAAAAGAAACATTTCATGCAAGTACAAATCATTTGCTTTGTTCTATTCATGCAATCCCTGAATTTTGTTCATATTCTGCATCCTGATCCTTTATCAGGACACCAGGAGGAAGGAATGTCCTTTTCCACATTTCCAGGTGCTGCTCTCCTCCTGCCCTGTGCAGTGTCCTCTCTGCAAATGCAAAGGCATTTTCAGCTCCCAGGCTCCAGGAAAATGTGGAGTTTTTTATCAGTAAACATATTTGTGGATAAAATAGCTCAGGAAACTGATAAGCCACTGTCTGTCTCGAGCCAATTCCCGTTATCTCCCGCTGGAGCAGATGTGTTTGTGCACATCTGGCTGCTGATCTTGGGGTTGGATTTGGTTGGATTCAAGGACCCAAGGTGATGTTTTCATGAAGTTTCCTCCTCCACGTGCCCTGATTGCTTCCCTCCCTCTGTGCTGGGGAGAAATCTGCTGGTATTTCCTAGGAGGTTGATTTTGGTGTATTTTTGTTCAGATTGGAGGCTGGGAGGAGGGGAAGAGGCTCAGCTGGACAGAGGCATTTGAATTCTCCTTCCTGCCTGCCCTGCTGCTGCTGGGGAAGGTTTTAGGCTGTGCAATTTCATCCCACAGGGATCCACACCTCCTAAAAAAAGATGATCTGAAGCTGCTGCAGATCCTAACACCTCTATTTGCCCCAGATATCAGGATGGTAAAGTCACTCTTCCTTACACTTGGTCTTGAACCTCATCAGGTTGTCCCAGAGCCTCCTGTGCAGCCTGTCCAGATCCCATCCCACACAGCTTGGTGTCACTGCCCAGCTTGACCCCATGTCCCTGTCACCCTAAAGATGTTGAACAGCCCCAGCACCAGCCCCAGCTCACCCAAATCTGATTTTTATTTTGCCTTATTTTCACTCTCAGATGTCAAATTTGAAGAGAACCAAATGAAAGATGATTCTGGTACCTGCTGCTGTTTATTGTTGTTAAAGGAGAGGCACTTGGAGATGAACACCACTGCTTTGTTTGCATTTATTTATGGCTGCTTTCCCATGGTTTGCTTAATTTGTGATAATAAATATTCCTCTGGCACACAACATCATTTTCATTTGGTGGTTAACCCTGAGCTGACCCATTTCCTAACCCCTTTGCACTCCTGGTAGTGGGGCACCTTTGAAAATAAAATTGATTTATTTTTTTGAGCTGCACAGCTCAGTTTAAACACTCTTCTGTGCAATGAGGTATTGAGAATTGAAAAGCTCAGTTTAAACACTCTTCTGTGCAATGAGGTATTGAGAATTGAAAAACTTGTGAGATCCTAAAGGAGAAGTGCTGCCTCCTCCACCCAATTTTCATCCTTAGGATATTTCAGTGGTGGTTTTACATTTAAACCCCTCCTCTAGAGTGATTACCTTACCTGCACAACAAGAAGGGGAAATATCTGTGAGGAAATTCCATCATTTTAAGCTTTCCAGTGGCAGGGTGGTAGTTGACATTATTGACAAAAATGTCAAACTACTTTGATCTCTTTAAATTTCATGTCTGGCTTTATTTTTTTCACTTTGGTAACTGCAATTTTGCCTTTAATACCTGCTTTGGTACAGCATATGGGTTTTTTATTATTCTTAAGAATTCAAGTCCTTTGATATTAAGCCTCAAAATGGGAATTTAATACTGTAATAATAGCTGTTGCTCATGGCATTGACTTTTTGGTCTTTGCAATAGACTTCAAGATTTTCCTTGTTTGTAATTTAGCCTTGAAAAACTCATCTGTTTATTTCAGCAGCTTCCTATTTCACACTCTTTCATACACAAATAAAGAGGAATTCACAATGTTACTCCTTTGAGGCTTCTATCAGGAGCTTTTTTTGGAGGAAAACTCCCCAAATTGTAGAATCTTTTCTTGCTTTTTACTTAGCTGCTCAATTTTGTGTTTCTGTGGCACTCTGACAGATTAAACTGTTGTGTTTGCACCTTTTACCATTTAAATCTTTTTCCCTGCCTGGGTTTGTAGGTGCTGATTTAAGAGCACAACATCTCCAGGGTTTCTGTAACTCCTGCTGAACATCCCTCACTACCCAGCAATTACCTTGGAGCTGCTGGCCAATGTTCCAGCCTGGCAGTTTTCATTCTTGAGCTCCTTGTTTAGTCTGACTGGGGAGATTTTTATTGCACCAAGTATTAAAAGGCTTTGCTGGAGTGGAGAGAGGCAGCAGCAGTCATTAGAGCCACTCACTAAATTATTTATTTGGCTAAAAAGTGAAATCTGATCTTGCTTGCCTGACCTGCCAGGAGGTAAAAGCATTGTTTTGTTTGGTTGTTGTTTGTTTTTTTTTAACTCTGTGAACAAGAATTTAAAGTTGAAATGGTATTTTTGAAGTTACTCATTTACACAGAGGAGGAAGCTAGTTACAAGAGCTGGCAGAATAATTGGGATGGATTCTGATTCTAACAGAGAGGAGTTTAAGGAATTCTTAAAATCCACAGAGATTCTGATGTAATGCACTCATCTGGATCACAAATTCCGTGATAATTAAAGTTATTTAAGTACTTTGATAAAAAAAAAAATAAAAATTCTTCAGGCAGCAGCATGGAAACATTCATCCTTCTGCTTTCCACCACTGCTATTTTCATGTCAGCTCCAGTATTGAAATCCACAGTTGTTCCCTTTTCCCTCCCAAATGCTCCAAAGGCACATTACTCCTCGGAAATTGCAGCTTATGGCATTTTCTAATTGCTTTCAAAGCCAGTGAGTTATGGCAGCATATTAAACAACTGGCACTTAAAAGCTGGTGATCTCTTACATAAAAATATTAGCTTGAATTTTTCTCCGTGTAGGATTTTCAGCACATCCCAGGGTTTTTTTGGTGGCTGGTTTTAGACCCTGCAGTAAACAAATTCTAATGGAGCTGTTGGAAACCCCTTTAAAAATGGAATCCCATCCCTGGATGTGCTGTGGGTGTCAGCCCTGATTAAAATCTGCAATAAACTCCCCATCTGTGTTCTTTCCTAAAGGAAATTCAGGAGGGAACGCTGCCTACAACTCTGCTTTTGGTTTAGCTTTTGATCTCCTTCCATCTCCACGTGTCTTTCCAGAAGGAGTGTTTGGGATTTTGCTTCTGGATGGAGCATTTGGGGCTTTTAACTCGGGCTCTTTTAAGGAATTTGCTGCCAGGGACAAGATAGGCAGAACGTGCAGAAGGGCGGATCATTCCCAGCATGATCCCTGCCAGCCCCAGCTCTCCCTTCCCTGTCCCTGCTGCCTTCTGCCACCTTCCCTGGCCCGCCTGGCTCTGCCACAGCTGCTCTGGGACAAAGTTCTGGTAAGGTGCACATTTCTCATCACCTTTTCTTCCCCTCTCTTCCCTCTCCTTTCCCTGCTTTTCACTCTGGCTTTGTAGGGATGTTCGCTGCACCCACTTCACACTGAGAAAAACTTCCTGGGCTTTGCAGGGTGGATGGGAAGGGCTTGGTGGTACAAAATAATAAAGCCAGGATGTGATCTTGAGCTCTGGAGAGCTCTGTCTCAGCAGGTTTCAGCCAGGAGAGCGAGTGGGGAGTCAGCAGGCACAGCCCAAGGTTGTGTTGTTGGCATTGACCTCTTCTCCCTGAGCTGGATTTTCCCCTCTCTGGGGCACTTTTGCAGGTTCTGTCAATATTTCTTCTGTTAACAGGAACTGAAGCATTCCTGCCAGTAAAATCCTGAGTATACACAAGGAAGTTGGGATCATTGTGCTCTGTGGGCTCTGAAAAGGGCTTTGTCTGAGTGCTTGTCCTTTACCCTTTTTTTGTTTTCTCTTCAATCAATAGATCAGATCACAGATCCCTCCCTGCCTTTCCCTGTGCCTCTCTCATCCTCAGGGCTGCCACTTTCCAGCCCTGCTACACCTGGATTGTAAATAACGATGATGGGAGTCAGTGGGAATCACCCAGGCCTGCAGGAGCAGTCCCTGCCTTAATTAAATGTTACCAGATCCCTATGGGATGTTCCAACTCGAACCCTCGCAGTGCAGAATTCTTTTTGCCTTTCCCTGATTTTGGAGATCAGCAGCACATTGCTCAGAGCAGCTCCTGCCTTGCTGGTTCAGTTGGGGTTAAAAGCCTTTTCAGCCAGGGTTTTAGGTAAGACAAAGATAAAGGCTGGCTCGGAGTTCCTCCTTGCAGAGCTTCTGAAGGAGATGTCACAAGGCTGCCCTTTCACACCGGGCTGTTTGCTTTTCCCTGGGAGTGGAGGTGGGGAAGCTGGTACAATCATTTGGGTCTTTTTTGCTCTGCAGATAAAAATTCAGGAGGGGAATCAGACCAAATATTATATTTGCAGCAAAAATTAATGATTTGGGACATTTCCTCAGCGTGTAAGGTCCTGGCTTTGCTTACAGACAGAAGAAAAAGTTCTAGATCCTGCAAGAATTAAATAAAGACCAGGAGTCATCCAGCTTCCACCTTAATGCCATTTTTGGGTGTTTCTGCCCATAGGATTCTTGATGCAAACACCTAAAATAATGTAGGACTGCTTCTCAGATCCTTCTTTGAAAGCAGAGGGATTTGGGATGGGGTAAAGAAGAATTCTTAAGGCTGCAGCCTCAGTTTTCAAAGGATGTGCAAAGTTTGATTTGTAACTTGGTGCATTCAGACATTCCTGTCATTAAAGTGTAGCGGTGATACCCTGCCTGGGGAAAGGCAAGAACTGGGTTTATAGCTTACCAGCAATGCTGGGCTGTGCTGGAAGCCCTCATTCCTTAAAAGCTGTTCCCAGTTTGGGGCCCTGGGAAGGTGATGTGGAGCCTGTTCCGATGGCTGCGGTGTTCCAGGCCCAGCTTCTGTGCTCAGTGAACAGCACAGCAATTGAACCTCACTTTTGTGTGCGATCCCATTTCTCTCTGTCAGACCTTTGTCTGCTGTGACCCACCACCCCCCACCCGTAACACACCCTCCAGTGACTCTGTTGGAACATTCTTTCCCCTCAGGTGAACAATCAGAATAATGTTCTACATAAACCTGTTGGAGAACCTGAAGGTTTATATCAGCAGCCGCCCGCCGCTCGTGGTCTTTATGATCAGCGTGAGCGCCATGGCCATCGCCTTCCTGACACTGGGCTACTTCTTCAAAATCAAGGAGATCAAATCACCAGAAATGACAGAGGTACCTGCAAAAATGATGTTAATTTAGAAAACATGCCTGAAGTTGATCTTTTTTCCCCTCCTAGAGAGCACAGAGTTGTGTGGGGGGTTGTCTCCGTTTTACTTTCAGAAGGGCTGTGGGGGTGAATGTTTGTTAGTCTTGTTTTATGTCAATGATGAGGCCAAATCATCTGTCATGGATCTTCCCTGCTGTGGCTAGGCACCTTTTAGTTTGTTATTTAGGGTCACTTAGCTGGTTTGGGGAACTTCCCTCAGCGCTGTCCTGAGGGAAACCTCGGCAGAAACCGTGGTGAGAACTGACCAAGTTTCCTTTCTGTCTCAGGGGAGGGAGCTGGGATTGAACCCATCTGACTTGTACAAACAACTTTTCTGTCCTTGAGCCAGCCCCGGGGGTGTTTGTGTTGCTTTGTGAGCCGTGTGATTTTTGTTCAATGCCCTGGAACCGGGCAGGGTGGGACAGAGTGAGCCTGAGCTCCCTCGTGGGTCTGAAATCTCCCCTTTTGTTTGAAGGACTGGAATACTTTCCTCCTGAGGTTTAATGATTTGGACTTCTGTATATCTGAGAATGAAACCTTAAAGCACCTCCTCAACGACACCACAACTCCAGAGAGCACCGTGACCAGTGGGCAGGCCAGGTCTTCCACACAGTCCCCACAGACCCTCGAGGACTCTGGTCCCATCAACATCTCCGTCACCATCACGCTGACCCTGGACCCTCTCAGACCTTTTGGGGGATACTCTCGCAATGTCACGCACCTCAGCTCCACAATTTTTGGGCACCAGATTGGACTTTCAGGTAGGCAAGGCCAGACCTTTAAAAATTCAGGTTACAGTTGGCTTTTAGAGGGTTTTTTCCTAACCTTTCACACGGGGATTGGCTTCAAACTGAAACTTAGTTTAGATTAAATATTAGGAAGAAAATCTTTATTGTGAGGGTGGTGAGTACTCAGAGAAGCTGTGGATGCCACATCCCTGGAAGTGTCCTCAGCCAGGTTGGACAGAGCTTGGAGCAACCTGGGATAGTGGAAGGTGTCCCTGCCCATGGCAGGGGAGTGAAACAAGACAGTTTTTAGGGTCCCCTCCAACCCAAACCATTGTATGATTCTAAGTAATTACATGATTTTAATAACTATACAATCAAATAAAAATTCCCCAGCTTATCATGGGTGAGATAAATCTTATGCACGGAGCACAGATGTCTTCCCAAATTTATTTTGAGTTTATTCCTGCATGGACCCTTTCTCTTGTTTGTTAGAGGAACTTTTCCCTGCATTGAGAATGGAAAGGAACCTGCAGGTGTGCCAAGATCAGGCTTGGCAATTTGAAATGATTAAACCTAATGACAATGGAAGGTCATTTCTAAGCCAGCAAAATTCCAAACAGCAACTTCCTTCAGTTTTGTCCTGATCCATCAAGTCCTGAACTGACATTTCAAATGTGACACAGATGCAGTAGAGAGTATTATGCTGTCTAAAAAAATTCTAGTTTATCTAAAATGCATAAGTGAACCAGCTTTAATATCACAAACAGCACCAGATAAGATGATTATGGTTTCTATGGTGTGCAGAGACCAATCTGCTCTCTGGCTGCCTGCCAGAAAGTTTTGACAGGAGTTCATAGAGAATTAATAGAAATTGATAATAGAACCTCACTGTGTTTTAGCTTTCAGCCAGAATTGCATTTTATAATAATGCTGAAGGTCTTGAACCTGTGGAGAGACATTGCCCATAGCTGCAAACTGAGTTTGCTGTTGTTATTTTGTTGCTGCTTTGAGAGCTACCAGATGCAAGTTCCATTTGCAGCAGCCTGGATTTATTTTCAGTCTGAATTTCTCTACATGGAGTTGTCATACATGACTTAATGTGCAGTTCACTATCTGCTGACACCTTTTCCTCTACACAAATATCTCAAGTTAAAAATGAGCATCAGAAGAAAAACAGATGTGGAGCAAAGTTCTTAGGAGGAGAAAAGTTTTTCTAATAAAGGTCTGTGAACATGCATGAATTCACTTATAAAGAGTTTTTAATTTCTGGGAGCAGCCTGATGACCCCAGTTCTGAGGTGGGAGAGATTAGAAAGAGCAGCAGCTGGGGGATTTTGTGGTTTGTTTTGGGTTTTAACTTTCCTTTTTGCTCTCTTTGTTTCCTGCAAAGATCCGGGATGACTCCAAAGGGTGACGCTTTCCTGCCTTAATGTTTTGTGTGTTCTCCTTATCCCAGCGACTGTTGCTCAGAGACTTTTTGTGAGCCAAACCCCAGCTCTCCTTTTCTCTTTCTCAAAGGCAGAGAATCCCACGAGGAAATAAACATCACCTTCACGCTGCCAGCTGCCTGGAACTCCGATGACTGCGTCCTGCACGGCCACTGCGAGCAGGTTGTGTTCACCACCTGCATGACTGTGACAGCAGCCAGCAACGTGTTCCCAGTCACAGTGTAAGTGCCCCTCTCCTGCAGGGGCTGCTTCCTGCCTCATTCATTCCTCTGAGTTGTTATTTCCTCCTGAAAATTCCTGGTGATCACGGAAATTATGTCCTTGCACTCCTTCTCCCACGGTAAAACATTTGTCTCCAAACCTCTGCTGTCTTTGAGATTTTTTGGCCCATGCCTGCCTTTCAGCTGTGGTTTAAACTTCACTGGGGGCAAGAGAATCCGTGGAAATTTAAGGAATTTGCCCCATAATTGAGTTTCAGAGCTGAGATTTGACACTGAGGTTCTTAGCTTCTCTGCTGAGAGATCAGCACAAGGCAAAGGATGCTTTGCTTTCACCAAAATATCTTCCCTTTGTCTTCTCTGCATTCCCTGGCACTGTTCTGTGCAAGCTGGAGAACCCCAGGCTGTGGGAAGCTTAGGAAAACCAGTATTTTTCCAATTAAACTGTGGGATGTTGGCTTAGTGCAACAACATGCAGTTAAATTCTAATTTTAGTGTAGCAATCGTGTGGCTTTGGGGGGTTTTTAACTTAAACTTTGGGGTTTTTTTGTTGCTTTGGAAGGCCCAAACTAAAACCATGCTTTGAGAAGAAAAGTTGTCCTGGTTGAACATGGAAAATACATTTCAGGGTGCTGATTATTTCTGTTTTATTGCAGTCAGCCACCACATTGTGTTCCTGAAACCTACAGCAATGCCACTCTGTGGTACAAGATCTTCACCACGGCCAGGGACTCGAACACAAAATATGCCCAGGATTACAACCCCTTCTGGTGTTACAAGGGAGCAATTGGGAAAGTCTACCACGCTTTAAATCCCAAACTAACTGTTATCGTTCCAGATGTAAGTGCTGGGCTGTTCCTCTGGTGTTTTCAGTAAATTTTGTTGAATACGGTTCCTAAAATTGTCATTTTTGCTGCTGGTTTGCTGTGTGGTGCAGAGGGCTGAGAATGCTCCCCCCTAATGGGTTTGATGAGCTTCATCCACATGCCTCACCGCTCTTAAAAACCACCCTTTCTACTCTGAAACCATTTCACAAAAGCCTCTTCCAATATTTTGAAAAATAACAACAGAGATTTTTAACACAAGGAACATTAAGTGCCGCAATTCGGAATCACTTCCATTGCTGTATAAAAGGGGAGAAAGTTGATCCATTAAGTAATTTCTGGCTTGATCTGGTAATTACATGGCTTTAATATCAGATGCTGAGTCAGTGAATGGTTTTAATTTGCTTTTCTGCGTGCAGGATGATCGCTCTCTAATAAACCTGCACCTCATGCACACCAGTTACTTCCTCTTCGTGATGGTGATCACCATGTTCTGCTATGCAGTCATTAAAGGCAGACCAAGCAAACTGAGGCAAAGCAACACAGAATTCTGCTCTGAAAAGGTGAGAGCGTGGTAACAAAATCTCGACTCTGATAAGGAAACAGAGAAAAGCTCCTGTTGGGCAGAGGACAGACTGGTTTTTCTTGTCTCTGGAGATGGGGATTTAATTGCCTTCCAGAGGGTGTTTCATTGTGGACAGTGCAGGTGGAGGTTATAAAATCCACACAAGTGCTTTGGAGATCCTCAAAATGAGATTTCTGTCCTCCAGAAATGGATTATTGCAGCTCAGGAAGTGCTGGGCTGTGACTCTTCTGCCATAATTCTGGTGTTGGTTGAAATGTTTTGTGTGAAGCAATGAATAGGTGGCATTGAATCTGCATTTATTCATCATCTTTTACCACAACAGACTGAAAACTGGGAGGAAAACATGATACATAATTCTAAGGGTTGTTCATCAGAATTAAATTAAAAACAAAGCTGTTGAAAGAATCATTGGTTGCTAATCAGAACTAAGTTAAAAGCAGTAACAAAAAAATTATTGTTCAGTATTACTTTGGGGACCTGCAGTTTGCCTGAAAAATTAAATATGAATATGTTTAATTGAGAAGTAGGAAGCCAGCATTGACACCTTTTGATCTTAATGATATTTTGTAGTTTGAGCTGGTTTGGGGTGTTTTTGTGGCTGTTTCTTTTTGGTTTTGGGTGGTTTGGGACTTATGTTCTATTGATTTTTGCAAAGTACAAAACACCTTCAGACTCGCTTTGATTTCCTTTCCAAGTCAGACTTTCCAAGGTTCCTTTGAAAAGTCAAGGACAGCTCTGCCAGCTCACAGAGATAAATCATATCACTGTTACAGGATTAAGAATTTGCCTTTGATTAAATATTTTCTCTTCCTTTGTTTTTTTTTTTCCAGGTTGCTTTGTCAGAAGCATAAAAACCCCCCTCTCCTCCTCCCGAGAACGACCGAAACCATTGCCTGCTGAACCCAGCCTGGGTCTTAACACTCTGTGAATCCATTACCTTGCAATGTTGGTTTATTCCAACCAAAGACATTTCAAAGTGCCTGTAATTGATTTGTACATATTTATAAAAGCAGAATATCCAGAGGAATTCCGAGGAGATGCGCTTGTCCCGCGGCGTGGCCGGACTCCTCCGGCCCTTCCCTGGGGACAGCCCCGTGTTGGTGTAGATAACTCCAGTGAAAAGGCTCCACAGAGGCAGAGATTTTTGTCCAGCTGCACCTGGGCAGGTGAAGATGCCTTTGCAAGTGTCTCAAACCAACCAAGAGATGTTTGGTTTTTTGCCCAATCTGTACAGTGTGTTTGAACCAAGTATGCACCTTTGATATAATCCTGCATTTCCAAAGCCACCAATCTACAACATTAATTCAATGTGTGTTTGTGTGGCCTAATACTTTATTCCATTTGCTCCTTGCTTGCAAGAAAAGATATCAACGTTTTAGATTATTTTTTTTTTCTCTTTTGGAAGAAAAAAAAATACATTTTTTTTTTTGTTTGTTTTTTTGGTATTTCATTTGGCTTGCTGAATGTCAGAGAACCAGTCAGCACAGAGACTATCTGGAAAACTTTTCCACTTGGCCTCCCAGCCCTCCAGCCAGGATTGTGTGTCTCTGCTGCAGAGCAGCTTTCTGTAAACTTTTTTTTTTGTTTGTTTTTCTTTTTTTCTTTACTTTCTAGAAAGTAAAACTTAATAAAAAGATGTTTTGTGTTAACAGCCTGCTGGGGCTCTGCCTTGGGCAAGTGCAAAGAGTGAAAGGAAAAGAAATCCCAGAGTCTCCTAAAGGGCTTCACTCTGGGGCTGTGCCTGCAGCTCTGAGGGGCAGCTGCCAATCCACTGCTGAGCTCGTTAAATTCATTAAATTTCCATTTACTGCTGTCCATTCAGGAGAAAATGGCCACAAAAGTGGGGTCCTTGTGAGGAAGGTCAAAGAAACCACCCAGTGAAACCCTTCTGTTCTCTGAGTCCATTCTGCACAGAGATTTCTCTCTGCATTTCTCCCTTCCCCGTTCTGCCTTTGTTGGTTTTTGTTTCCTGGTTCCTTGAGCAGTCCCCCTAATTTCCAGGGTCAGGCTTTTCCTGCAGACATTTCCACCACTGCTTTTAAATCTCACTGGTTGCCTTAACTGACTTTTCATCTTTTCTCCCATCTTTCTCATCAGGTGGTGTGACAGCTCAGCATTCATTCATTCCTTCATTCCCACAGGCTTTTTTTCCTCCTCCTTTTGCTCCAAACTCCACAGAAGAAAAAAGCCAAGTGAGAATCTCATAGTCTCAGTGATGCTGTCATAAAATTCCCAGTTTATTTCCTCCAGACACCTTCCTGGTCTGTGTGTGTTGGGACTTCAGTAAGTTCACGAGTCTTAAGGGTGTTTGAACAGTCACAATTTCCTCCAGAGCACGTTTCCTCCTGCAGTTTCGGGGTTACCTGATGTGTTTTCCTCCAGGGAATGTTAAGGCAAACCTTTAGCCTGGTTTGAAGTTTAGGGATGAAAAGAAGCTCCCAGTTTTCTCCTGATGCTGCTGGGATGAGGCAGGGAAGTGAAAGGGGCTGAGAGCTTCTCTTGAGCTGTTCCTAAGTCACACAAGCCCAGCCTTGCCTGTTAATCCTCACTCCAAGAGTCGCCTCCGAGGGCAGCTTGACCTGGGGACCAAAGGCAGGAATAGGAGATGGATTGGGAGAGAGGTGCTGCAAATCCTGGAAATACCCAAAACCCACCCAACATCACCTGACTCCTGCAGGAAAGCAAAGCAAATCCTTTCTCCTCCAACAAATCCCAGCTCCAAACGTCCCAGCTGGAATTTGGGAACGAGAGGAGCCTGCTTGACAACCTCCCCCCACTTTCTGCACCCCCCCCAGGAATATTAAAGATTGTGACCCACAAATGCAAAAGGGAAAACGTTGGAGAGTTGGATTTTTTTGGCCTTAGTTCATCCTTTTTGCCCCCTGCATTGCAGCAGGGAGGTCCCAGCAGGCCAAAGTGCTGGAATGCTGAGGAATATTGGATTGTTCCCAGGCGATGTACAAAGTTAAATGCAGCCAAACAGAAGAGTTAAAACTTAATATTAAAGTTCAGATCATATTGATCTTTCCTTTTTTTGTTTTCTTTTTTCTTTTTAACTATGACTTGAATCAGTTTTGATTCTATTTGTACGTGTTTTCTTGTTCTTAGAAAGCTGCCATTTTCTTTTTTATTTTTTTTTTTTTTTTTGCATTTTCTTTGGCATTACATAGAAAATCTGAGCCTTGGTTTCAACCCTCTGCAGGTGATTGTAGGGTTCGAGATGGCTGTATTTTTGTTTTTTGTTCTGTTTTGTTCTTACATTTCACTTGTCTTGTTGCATGATGGTTAATAGCTGATTTGGAAATGACATTTCTCTCCTAGATTAATTTTTGTGTTTGTAAGATGTGCATATTGCTTTGCAGAATAAAAACTATGAAGTTTATCTTTGTTGTCTTTATTTCCACGGCCCGGTGGCTGCAGATGTTTCATAAATCAACCAAAATTATGTGGAGCACGGGAGGAAATCAAGGAAAAATCTGCAGTAAAGTGAAATTGAATTTGGGTTGTAAATTCTCTTTTTCCCTCCAGCACTCATCACAGCCGGTGATGAATTGTCTGGCAGGGAGAAAATCAATCTGAAGGTAGCAGAGCCCCTGTTTTCTGTTCAACTCCTGGGACTTGTTTGTCTGCTGTCACCAAAATTTGGATTCCTGAGCCCCAGCGCTGTCCTGGAGGATCCTCAGGAGCTGCACACACAAAGGATCCATTGTGGCTCCTTTCTCTCAGCTCTTGCCAACTTTTTGGGTGCAGTCTGAGGCCTGACCTTGAGGTGTCTGTACCCAGGGAACAGCTCAGCCACCAAAACCAGGAGCTGGCTGGGTTTGGATGTTCCTGCAGCCCCAGTGCTGAGTTATCCCTGTCCCTCAGAGCCCTGCCCAGGCTCTCCACGGATCCAGTCCCTTTTCCTGCGTTACCTGCACAGCTTGGTTTGTGTTTCTCCTTTTTAAGGGGCTTTTACAGCTCTGCTGTGGCTTTTTCTGATGGCTAAAAACAGCATCCCATGGATCATCCCAGCTGCTCCTGTCCTGCAAGAACCAATATTCAGTTATTTACCTTCTGAAGATGTTTCTTTACAGGATGTTAAAGAAACTGTTGGGATCTAAGCATAGATTTCCCTGGGCTGCCTTACTTTTTTAGCTCCTTGCAATTTTTTGGGCACCCCGATGGAATAAACATCGGTAAGATTCAAGCTGTAGTGACAAAAAGAGTAAGGCAAGGCAGAGAGCAGCTTTTTTTTAATGCCTGTGAATAAAAAAAATGTCACAATTCTGTGTCATTTGTCTTTTGAAGGGATCCCTGCTGGTGATATTCCAGCAAGGAGGGGTTTTATAGTCAGGAGGGTGGTAAAATATTCCCTGTGCTCATGGGATAATCACACCACGGAGTTGTTCTGTCACTGAGGAAAGGATGAGAGCCCCAGAGCAGCCCGGGTGAGGTGAGGGAATGAAAAACAGGGGTGTTCTTGGACCTTGCATGAACAAAATTGTCACCTAGAAGGCACCAATGGCTAAAAAAAGGTGATTTTTGGGGGGGTAAGGGCTCGCTGTAGGGCTCAGAGCAATGGATGTGCTCCTAAATTTGATCCTCACCCTCCTGAAAGCCTGGTTGTGTTCCTTAAAACTCAGGGAATGGGGGAAAACAGCTTAAAAATGCACATTTCCAAAAGGAAACCCTCAGTGAGATCCCAGGCAATGCAGGGGATCTGAAAGTGCCTGGAAATGAGGAGAAACCAAACGTGGATCTGAGTCAGGGAGAGAAGCCTGGAATTCCTGCAGGGAAAGGACGTGTAGGACTGAGGTAAACTGAGGAAAACTGAGGAGTATCAGTGGGGAAAGGGGGAGCTGTGCCCTGAGGGGACTCAGGGGGATGCAGGGGGATCCAGAGAGGCTGGAGGGGGATCCCTGAGGATGGAGAGGCTGGAATGGGGATCCCTGAGCAGGGATTCCTGCGCAGGGAGAGGTTCCAGGGAGGTTTCTGAGCAGGGATCCCTGCGGATTGAGGGACTGTGGGAGGATCCTGAAATGAGGATCCCTGAGGATGGAGAGGCTGGAGAGGGAATCCCTGTGGATGGAGGGTCTAGAGGGGGATCTCAGAGAGGGGATTCCTTGGGACTGGGGGTCTGGAGGGGGATCCCAGAGTGGGGATTCCTTAGGGGGGATCCCTGAGGATGCAGGGACTGGAAGGGGAGCCCCAAAGCGGGGAGCCCTGAGGATGGAGGGGCTGGAGGGGGATCCTGGAGCGGGGATGGTGGCGGAAAAAGGGTCTGGAGTGGGATCCTTGCGTCCGGAGGGGAGTCCGTAATCGGGTGTCACTACCCCCGGTGTCCCTGTCCCGCTGTCCCCGCTGTCCCTGTCCCGCTGTCCCTGTCCCGCTGTCCCCACCGGACACCGCTGGATGGCGGCACGAGCCCGTCCTTTCCCCCGAGCGGGCCCGGATTTGTTTTGGAAGGGATGGAAAAGCGCTCGATCCGCGGCGTTTTTCCACCCCGAGGTTCCCGAGGATTCTCTGGCTTCGGGAGATGTCTGTGCTCGGCAGCGCCCGGGTTTTGTGCGCTGAGGGCAGGCTGGGAGTGAAAACAGGGATTTTTCCTGTTTTTAGCTGAGGTGCGATGGGGACAGGGAGAGCAGGGACATGTCCCAGCGGGAGAGGCGCTCCCAGTGCACCTGCGGCTTCAGCAGTGTGGCCGTGCTGCTCCTCCTGCATTCCTGCTCCAGCCTCCAAGCACAGCAGGAGACCAGAAAACCTCCCCGAGGAAATTCCTTGTCCTTTCATCCCCATCCGAATTCCCAATAAACAACGAGCCCAGCCCCAGCACTCCGGAGAAGGCACCAGGTACCCCCTGAGCAGCATCCCAGGCCACGGATGAACTCTTAATTACAAATATTCCACACCAGCAGCTGCCTGGGCAAGTCTGGGGGATGAGGATGTTTCCTCCAGGTCTTGTCTCCAGGCAGGGAAAGGGAAGGGCAGGAAACTCGTAAGGAATAAATTGAGTTTTGTGGATCCCCCACATGGAAGCCCAGGCTGGTGAGCACAAAGGTCAGAGAAATCAGAGAAACCTTTTCCTAAAGGAGGAATTGCGGAGGATTTGCTTTTCTCTGTTGTGACAGCAGTGAAGCTCAGCCCCCGGGGCTGGTGCTGGTTCTGGTTACCAGGCACAGGATCTGCCTTAATTCAGAATTAATTTCAGCAGCGTTATTTGGGGTAGAAAGGTGCTGATACCACCATGACTCAGATCCCTGATGGCAGCAAAACTTCACCATTTCCTGACCAGGACCCAGCTCCGGTGCCTAACCTTGCCCTGAATT